CGTAATCGCGAGGTCATAGGTTCACACCCTGTTGAAGTCCTGATTTTTTTTTTTTTTTTTTTAGGCTTCTTTACGCAATTGCATAAATTGCGTTCACTGCGACGATCATTTCTTCTTTTTCATTTCATTTCAAAGTTCATTTATGTTCATTTCATATATCATTAACACTCATTTCTTTCACGGGAACATATGAACCCACAAGTGACCTGCTCCCAACGCCAGTGGCTTCATAGCTCAGTTGGTAGAGCATCGCACCGGTAATCGCGAGGTCACGGGTTCAAACCCCGTTGAAGTCCTGAATTTTTTTCAGGCTTCTTTACGCAATTGCATAAATTGAGTTCACTGCGACGATCATTTCTTCATTTTCACAAATCACTTTGGGGGAATTTTTGAGAGGCTCAGTCTAAAAACAAGAAAGTTGCATTAAGTGAACGCTTGAATTAAGCCAGCTTATTAGCAGAAAGATGCACGATTACAGAAATTTGCCTACAATTCATTTCTGTGCTGACGTATTTCTCTTTACAAATTTCCCTATTCATTTCCAAATTCTTTCTCCGGCTGTTAAAATGAATTGCATGTTAAAAGTGCAAGAGGAATAAAGGAAATTACACCTTCTAATAACATCTTTCCCTATAGTTAAAAGAATTCTTGAAACTGAGAGTGTTTTGATCAAAGCAGCGTAAATCGATTTGAATCAGTGCATGGAATCTTGCGTTTTCTGTTTGTATTTCCCCAATATGATATCAATATGAATCTGTAAATTTCAAAGAGCTACACAAGAGTCATACAAAGGCAAAGAATACAACTGATCAAAAACAAAAAAAGAAAAAGGGACGTTGTAATGTCAACTACATTAAACACCAGCATATATATAAGAACCAACACCGGGGCATATGTTTACCTATCGTATTTGTTTCTCTTTTCATTTGAAATTTCCTTTTTTTGTATCGATGAAAGTAATATGTTGAGGACGTTTCCCCTTTACCAACTTTATTTGCAGATTCTTCGACACCATTGTCACAAAAGACTACAAACTCAACTTCAACAGGTCAGTGATGTGAAGGGGTAGTCACTAAGTATAGTGTTGCAATGGGACTAATTGTACGTAGTGGCGAATCCAGACCTTCAGATAAGGGGGGGGGGGGGGGTCATCCGGACCCTGAGATAAGGGGGGCGGTCTTAAATTTTTTTTTTTAACCTTTCGGGTCTCAGTTTGGTCCAAAAATAACGGGGAGGCCCAGGCCCCTTCCCTGGATCCGCCTCTGAATTGCCAACCAAATCTAAAAATAGTATCCAAATTTTATCCCTTTTCAAATAATACGAAACAGTGGAAGAAAACAGAACCACCCTGAGTCGGCCCTGAGTTGCTGGACTGTTGTGGCAATTCAAAAGTAATTACCGGGTGTCAGTAAAACGCGGGGTCGCGGCCGGGGTCGGGGTCTATCTCTTTTTTTATAGAATACCGTTTGAAGGTTAGGATTAGGGTTATGTGAGGGTTAGGGTTAGGGTTAGTGTCAACCCGAACCCTAACCCTAACCCTAAAACAGCATTCTTTAAAAAGAAGATAGACCCGGACCCCGGCCCCGGCCCCGACCCCGCGTTTTACTGACACCCGTAATTACCAGCGAGTTGCATCGTGCTCCAGTTTAAAGACACATTTTCACAAATTAACAAAATATAGTGTATAATCCCGGGTAGGCCCACGGGTAACCCAGGCTCTGTGATAGTACCACAGTACAGTCCCATTAAAATTCCAGGGGCGGGGGACTCCGCATATGAAAGGGGTGGGGATGCTCGTCAGAAATTTTCAATTAAACCCCTAAAGGAGACCGGTCTGGGCGCGGCCCAAGCTTTTTTTGATCCCTAAAAGAGGCCATGTTAAAACACAGACAAATGAGAAAACTTGGATTATATGAATGGAGTAAATAAAACGAATTAAAAATATACATATCAAATATATATTTTTATATTTTTTCGCGTGCAACCCTAAACGAGACTTTCACGGCTAAATATGATGGCAAAATTCAGGCACGTGTGCGGGGTTTGCTCTGGCGATTTGTGATTGGCTAGGAAGAACAATTGCCTTCTATCAAGTACTTTTCCAGCAGGGGAGGGTGGCTTTGGGCAAATGGTGTATCGGTCTCCAGAAAGGTCACCCCAGGACTCCCGGGATGGATTTTTTTTTGTCATAATTTGCTAACCAACCAGAGGACTCAATTATGACTAACGGAACGAACCGGTTTACTGTACACAAATCTCAGAAATCTCTGGCACATAAACTGACTCTTACACTGACTTATTTTTTTCAGATGCTGCTGCTGCCTAGATGAACGATGTTTAGGGAGAATTTTCACGGTTTATGAAACATCAGGGGCCCATTTCTCCTAAGTACCGATAATAAACGGGCCCGGGAAACAGTTGTTACGAACAGTTAAGGTCGGGGTTTTGATTTGTTTTCGCGTTTTAGTGTTCTTTACATTTTCATTTGAAAATGTTTTATTTGGTTTCGGGCCTGAAACGTTACCGGGAATTTTGAGAAAGGGGCCAAAGAAGAGAAGAGTTAGCGAATAGTTTTCTTCAGTGGGAAGTTTTCTTTTGGTTCATTTAGAAATGTTTTGGTTGTTAGTTTGATTTTTTTACACAAATAGTACCAGTAGAAACGCTCTGAAGTATAAAGTAAATGATACAACTATAAAAAGATGTTAAAACCTTATCTTCTTATTGTTGTTTGACAATAAATTTTACTTCGGGTTGAAACAGTCACTCTCTTTTTCTTTCCCAACCACGCGAGCAGAGGTCAGACTCAAGTAGATTAAGGCCTCGGTCTACGTCAGTTATAGTTTTTATGCACATATTCCAAAAAACCATTGCTAAAGACAACAACAATAATAATAACAAAATCAACAATCCCAAAAAACTGTAACGTAGTGGAAGAAAAATCCCCAGCATGCCCCGTGTAAAAATGAAAAGGTGTTCAACAACAGAGCAGCATTAAAGAAAGTATTCCGGCTTTAATATCCATGTAATATCCATTGCAAAAAAAAAAACAAATAACAAACAACCAAACACTAAAGTAAAGAAAATAATATACAAAATATTTCATTCAGACATTCATGAGGCTAACTACAATACCTATAAAAAAATTACTAAATATCGTTATTCTTCCAAAAAGAATGTGTTTTGAATTCTTACGGAAGTGCAGCCAAATCCCTATTAAGCAGTCAACCTCTTCTGTTTGGCGGTCACCTGCGAGAGTCACTACTTCCCGAGAGTGACATCTTAGTAGTCCCATGTTCTCAGTAAAATTCACAAATCGAAAAAATTCAGCCGTTCTGAACTATCATAAGTCGTGATCCTTATCAAACCAACCGGTTTGTGGGATTTCTATATCATGTTTTTGTTGGTCTCGAGTCTTTGGATGTTCGTTACTATTTTCTGTCCAAAGCAGGCCGTGACAGGCGACGTTTGAAGTTATGACATCCTGACCTTTCATACGGCCTCCGCGGAAACCGGCGGGAAACGTCTTCACGCGTTAGTCGGGTGTCCTGCTTCTGGAGCTGAAGTACACTTCAACATTATCTTGTTGACGTTATGATGAAACAAAAAGAAGCTTTTTTGTACAAAGTAATCTTAACTTTGCGTTGATGTATAGAAATAATATCGAGTTTTATTCGTTCTTTGCCATTGAGTGGACTGCAAAATTTACTGAGAATATAGGACTGCCGGGCATTTAGTGTTTTGAAAACCTTGACCGGCAGTCGAGCTGAAAAAATTTCTAATTGTCACAGAAAACGGTTTCGTCTTCTGAGCCCAGCGTAAACCAAACACTAGACTTGAGATCTATGAAGCATTTCATCATCATCATCATCATCACCATCGGTCGGCAGCAGAGCAGGCGACTACGAGCTTCCTCCAGCCACAACGATCCTGTGCCAATTCAGACAGCTT